TTGATCCGTGTTTATAATGTACTGTATTGGACTTGTTACAGCAGCACCACGCTCATCCTTGCCTGTGCTTGGGTTTTTGGGCAAGTTTCTTGCTCCAGCCCTGGCATTTATCCAAGGGGATGAATGAAGAGCTGTCTGCATCAGGAGCCACTGCTCCGTGTCCCCCCACACCCCTCGTGCGCTGCAGGCGCCCGCTGTGCCACAGGCTCTGACCCAAACGCTGTCCCTGCTGTCCCTGCCTGCACATTAAGCTTTAACACTTATTATCACCCATCCAACCGGCAAATAAGAGCTAAAGCTTGGATGCTGGGATAACACAGACCCCTCTCCAGCCACTTCTCCGTTTCAAAGGAAGGCAGAGCTGAGCCAGGCGATGCCAGCGCCTTCCCCGCACGCCAAGGACCGTGAAAGCTGCTGTTACTTTCACCATGGGCAACCACATCTGCATTAATTGTTTACCACAGCCCGGACAGGTCTTTTATTAATATTAATGAGTAAGACGGAACAAAAGGCCCCTTTATTTTTAGCCTACTCTAATTGCGTAGTAATTACTCATCTACAAAACAAATGAGCCGAACTCCATTGCCATAGCAACAGCAACTCCGGCCTCCCACTGTACCACATTAACTGGCTATCACTCCTGTAATTTGAAATTGAAGCCTTTTCTACAATAACAGACAATACAGGAAGAAAATTAAACCAAAACCAGGGCTTTGTTTTGCTGCATAATTTAAGTCATGGTAGCAGGAGGGCATTGCCTGGGGGGCACCTTCCTGCTGCTGCTGGACCTGGTGGGCTGGGGGGATGCTGGGGAGCACAGAGGGGTAATCCAGCTAACAGGTGAGGAATCCAGCCTGCAAACCCCCAGTCCTGTGCAACCACCCCCTCCTGTGGGAGAGTCTGCACTGGGCACCTGCACAGAGAGGGGTCTGGGCACCTGGAGCAGACCTGTCTGGACAGATGAGTGCCAGGGCAGAGTGAGGGATCCTCCATGGCATGTGAAGCAGGTAATAACATCCCCCTAAAGGACAACCTGAGCTCACCAATGAGGAAACACTGCAAGAAGCTGCTGCCCACCACAAGGTGCCTGCAGGAGAGCTGATGGCACCAGCTCTGCTCTTGGCAGCTGACAACCCAGCCCTTAGCAGGGCACAGACACCCCAGAGTCCTCCTGGCACAGAGCTCTGGGCTCTTCTAACTATCAAGAAATAACCATAAGAGCCCCAGCTGTGTGGGTTTATTATTTTTAAATAGCTCAGGTTTATATACCTGTAGACCCACTTTGCATTCTCTGGCAACTCCTAACCCACTGCACTCCTTGAGCTCACACGGAGCCAGATGCACACTAACATCTGCTGTGAGGAAAAACTCCTCTGCCCCTTTGGCAGTTTTCTATCTCAGAAAGGAGAGAGGGGGAAAAAAATCACTGTAATTATGTATTTACTTTTAAAGTATTTGGAGAGAGAATCAGCATGAAAATAGTGACAGTACTAAGTCAGTACAACGTGTGCTGCCACCCAGTTGTTCCACTAACAGGTAACAGCCTGTGTCTGCTGCCAGAGAGGTAAGTTACCCTCAGCTCTGACAGTATTTTACCTATTTAGGGGTTAAAATGCATGAGACATGATCCTGTGCTCGAGGATCTCATTTCACTGGAGCGCTCGTGCTGAAACACTTCAAACTCTGCAGTGACTCGGCTGCACCTTGCGTGGAACAAAGTCTCATTACAACAGCCCAGAACTCTGTCCCTCCACATCCACTGGGAGAAAGGGCATAAAACACAGCTAATTGGCTGTGGCAGGGCTTTGGAAGCTACCAAAGCTCTGTCACCAGTGAACCAGACTCCACACTGGCAACCAGCCCGCCCATGGCACGAGGCAGCGGCCACGTCATCACCACTTGAAGTGTCAAGAGCAGCAGCAGGGACAGTAGGATCACAGAATCAAGGAACAGTCTGGGTTGGAAGGGATCTTAAAGATCATCCAGTTCCAACTCCCTGCCATGGGCAGGGACACCTTCCACTATCCCAGGTGGCTCCGAGCCCCGTCCAACCTGACCCTGGACACTTCTAGGGATGGGGCAGCCACAGCTTCTCTGTGCAACCTGTACTAGAGCCTCACCACACTCACAGGGAGGAATTTCTTCCTAAATGAAACAGCTCTGGATGAGCTCTCTGTGGACCGTTTTGCCATGGAAAATAATTCTCTCAGTGGAAAGGACTGTTAAAAGTTACCCGCTAAATTCATTAAAGATTAACTTCAACTGCACTTCAGAGGTGGTCACTAATTGCACTGGAGATGATTTATCAAGTGCACAAGATTTTCTATTACAAAATTATTGATTAAAGCTGATGTATTTTAACCTCAATAGACTTCAGCCCGGTGCCCTGTCAAACACCACCGCTGTGGCCAAGGCCGAGCAGCAGCAGCACCAAATTGTTTTAGATCTACTGAATTTTTTGTTTAGATCTACTGAGCAGGAAGCTCAGTCCCTTGTGGATCAAAAAAGATCCAGAAGCAGCATCCTACAGTAAAACAAGACAGAGGGTTTCTGCCTGAGCCTCCACTCTGGAAAAGACCGGTGGGGTTCCCACCCTGGACCAGCACAGCACTTCTGAACCAAACAGAAATGACTCCCCTTTCATTACTATTATTCTTTTAATTTGGGGTAGTAGTCAGAAAATAACTGTAGTGCTCCCAGCACTGTCAGTAATGAGGTTAAAACCACTTACAGGAATTTGGCTCCTCCTGAGTGCATTCAGCCCCCGGGGCCGCTCCATGCAGAGTCTGACTGCTGGAATTCCCGTTTAAACCAGGATTTTGTCCTTGTGCCCACCCTCCCTGAAGGCCCTGAGGTGTGGGGTCCCTGCCTGGCCGCCCGCCATGCTCCCCAGCACAGACTCTCTCTGCCAGGGAGATAAGCAAAGGATAAAATCCGATGCAGCCATTAATTTCCCGATGCATCACCCGCCGGGCTCTGTCACATAATTACTGGCGGTTCCAGCAGAGTGAGAAATTCCAGCCCTTGCTGCTCCCAAGTGATCCACTTGTTAGGTTTTGGCTTTTGAGATTACATAGCTCGGATTAAACTTTATGTACTTTTATAGAGGAGAATAAAAAAGGGAGAGCAGTTCCATCAGAGCCACCGTGCCACAAGGGAGCCCTCCCAAAGGGCTGCATAAATCCCAAACTGGTTCATCGCTGGATCTTTGAAATGCTCCCCCCGATATCTCCACGAGCCGGTGGCGGCTCCTGTCCCCTACACACACACAGACCAAGCACTGCCCCCCTTCTTATGGCCATAATTTGCTGAACTATGAGTAGATTAAAGTTTAGAGCACCTTCCCTAAGTGCCAGACAAGGTTTCCTCAACCCCATGCAATTTGTCGCTCTGCTGACTTTCAGTCAAACTCCTCACTTCATCATGTGCATTAAACAGTGGGTCCCCCCATTTCCCTGGAAGATTGAGATCCAAAGGGGCCATTATCCCTCTCCCTTGACACACGAGTGTTCAGCTCCCTGGCAGTACCAGGGGTGGCTCAGCTTGCCCTGCACCACGTCAGCCCCATCCCAGGGCTTGTTTGCTTGATTTACTCGACATTCTATTAGAGGTAAGGAGCGGATACAAATCCTTAATTACATTTGCAAAGCCCACTCTGGATATTTTATCTCCCTGGAAAGCGCTGGCTGCTGTAAGGGCATTAATGACTGCATGGCTCTGCCCAGCAGAGCAGGAGATGCTCCCACCCAGCACCACTGCTTTTGGGGCACAGGGAGGGGAAAAGGGGTGACCACCCTGTACAGGAGCTTTCCTGCTTCCAGCAGGATGTTTTCTGACAAACAACAAACTAAACAAGTAAACCAAGGCCTAATTTGGGATCTCAATTACCATCTGCCAAATGTACATTGTCTCTGAATTTTCAAAGTTTAGCACAGAAACCCCAGGCGGGAGAAGCAAAGCCACTGCTGGCTCATGGCAGAGAGGATGAACTTGCCTCGAACTCCTCATGCTGATATTTATGAAATGTTAAATCTTCATTTAAAAACGTTCCCCTAAGCTGGGTGACATGGCAATGAGTACGACCCATCACTAGCTCAGAGTCTCTGTTGCATAATAAGATTTAAGGTTTATGACCTACAAACAATCACTTGGTGGCTCAGGACAGGCTGCGGGGAGCCGCCTCACACACACGGAATTATTTGGGTTCCCAAATGGAGTGATTTGCGTGTGGCACATCTGGTCTACGACCGCCAACGAATGAGTCTATGGGCTAATATGGACGAGTAACAGGCTGATGGAGAAACCATGATTGTAAAATGATTTAAAAAATAGCTTTTAAGTTCTTTTGGATACAAAACAAAAATAAGAGAATATAGTTATAGCCAGTGTTTTAATTCCTAGGGGGGGTTAATTTGAAAAAAAAAAAAAAAGTAACGGCAATTTTACTATCAGCATAACAGCACGTGCGGGTTCTTGTTCGGAGGGTGTAGGTTGCCTACAGCCGGCTTCAATTTATACTTCCAGATAATGGGATTTAACGAATAGGGCACTATGGATCCAAGCCTTTAGCAGCTCTCTGCTGTATTATCCCTACGCTTTCAGTGAGACCAAGGCTCTGCTTTTATCTGCCACACTCGTTCGCGTTGATGGTGCCTATAATATCAACTCGACAATGCATGTTCTACAACTACATCTACTGCTACCAGTACGACTACTACAGTGCATGCATTTAGTTCAGTCCCACAGATACATACACTCTAAGAACAGGCAAGGGGAGATGTGAAATGTTTTACGGGACGACAGGTGTTTTGTTTTTTAAGTAAGGGAAATTAATAAAAAACATCAAAAGAAAGAAAGTGTACAAAAAAATAGAGACATTTCTCAAGAGTTGATATGAGTCGTTTCTTGAACCGTTTCGTCCGAACAAGCAAAAAACATGCAACCAGCTGCTACTAACAAGAAGCTGGACACTGAGAGAGGATTAATAGGTGTGGACAAACCTTCCCGCTGAGAGCGCTCAGAAGAGTGTTTGAGAGGAGGTGTGCACGTCCGAGTGTAAGAGAGGCCGGAAAGTTTGCCTCAGAGACACCCTCTCTCACAGCAGCCCCAACCAAGCAAGAGAGAAAACAACAAAACATAACTGCTCACACTCACCATCAAGGTCAGTAGCTCACGTTACGAGATTTGTTATTGCTGGCAAGTATAAAGTCCAGTAAGGGGTTGTTGGGGTGGAGGGCTCAAAGGCAGCACTGGCAAGCCAGGACTGGGGCCCAAAATCCAGATGTGCCAGGGGTATTGGGGTGGGGGAGCAGCTCCTGGTGCCGTGGCACCGCACTGTCCCACTGTGCCGCTGGCCGGCTCGGCGGGCAAAGCGTGCCCGGGGCAGCTGGCACCGCTCACCCGGGACAGGGCTGGATTGCAGGTGGCCTTATGGGTTTTGTCTCCAGTCCTTAGGGAGGAATGGTTGGCGGCAACAGGTTGGGAACTGGAAAAATCTCAGACTTGCTAATGAACCAAAGAGGAAGGAACAAAAAACCCTCTCCTGCCAAATTTCCCTTGTCTCGCTCTCCTGCCAGATGAAGCCCTCCCATGTCAAATGCAAGAGAAAAATGTGCCCCCCCCATGACTGTATTTTAAAAAAAGTGTTTACACGACAAAAATGTTTTACACGTAAAATATGTCAGGTGGATTCAAAAGAAACGTGACATTGATAGTGAAGTTGTCTAGGAGGAGTTTGCAGCATTCAGACTTTTAAACTTTGCTCGTTTTCCATGGCTCAGGTCCCAATTCATTAAAAAAATACAAGAATGGGTGAGGTTGTCAAAACCAGCAGAGGGGCTGGGCAGCACAGTCCCACCCGGAGCGAAGGGATGTGGCCAGACCTGTGTCTGCTCGAGGGACCTTGGCTATCGTCTCATCACCGGGACGTCGCCTGGGGACGTGATTTATGGAGAGCAGCACTGCTGTGCTCGCCCTGCTGGCACACGAGCAGCTACGCGGGACGTGAATTTATGGGTGGCACTGAGCACGAGGAGAGGGACACGTCCCTGTCTGCTGGCTGTAGGACAGAACTGCTGTGACAGATAAAAGAACTTGTTTATCTAGCCAGGTCAGCTGGTGACACGTGAAAAGGAAGGGGCAAAGGAGGGGAAGACCAGGCAGCACAGAACCAGGGCCGGGCACTGCCCCCAGCAGGCTCCTTGTGTTGGCTGAGCAAACATGCAGGTGACCCAAGAGATGGAGCATCAACTCGGGAGAAACCAAGGTGGTCAGTGCTCAGAGGTTTGGAGCGAGAGGGGTGCAGCTTCCCTGGGAGACCAAGATGTGCAGCTGAAGGTGGATGCTCTCTGTGGGCACTCAGTCTCAGTGCTGGCAGTGACGCCAGGAAGGTGGGGAAGAGCCGGCAGGACAGGGCCGGAGAGAAGGTCAATTTTGGGTGAGCTGGTGAGGCTGGAGCACTGCCAAAGGAGCTGCAGTGATGGGGACACTGATGACATGGACCATCATCAGTGCTTTCCAGGAACCTCCTGGCCTGTTTGTTCTGTGACAGGGGCAGCTCCAGCAGCCCTGGGCAGAGCCCTCCCCAGCAAGCCAGGGGTGGTGGGATGAGCCTGCCTGGGTGTTTTCCAGCTCCTTCCTATTTCCTGGCAGGAAGGGCCAGTTAGGGTCAGCTGTGCCGTGCTCTGTGCTTTGGATCAGGCACACGTGAAGGAGCACTGTGCGAAATTTGTGAAGGAAAAAGAAAAACCCAACTGAAAAGGAAAGAAGGAAAAAAACCCCAACCATTTTTCTTGTAATGAATCGGGCCCGCACACTGCAGCGCAAGATCGATCGGACTCCACTGCTCCTGGATACAATTCACTACCATTGCTGATGGAGTGGCAAACCCAGGATGTCCCTTCAGAAACCGGCTTTGGATGGAGATGACTCTACGGAAAACCCCACCGTTCCCAGAGCACAGTTTGGTGTAGATGTGAGTGGCCGTGGGGCCGGTGACAAACCCACCTTCCTCCTTGAGACCTCGGGGCTGGGGAGGGACAGGGGCTCTTTGGATTCAGTTTTGGGGTTTCGCCAGTTTTGTGCACACAGGCAATTTTGAGGCTTGAAAAGACATTTCCAAACACCATACTGCTCTTTAAACTTGCCAGAAAGGGTGTTGTTAATTTAGGGTTAGATTTAGTTTCGTATTGCAAGTTCAAATCAAAAAACAAAAAAACTGAAAAAACAAAACAGAAAACCCAACAAAAGAGAAACCAAAAAACACTCAAATTAAAGACAAATGATTTTCAGGCACAGAATTGATCAATGCTCAGTTCAGTTGTAATGGGCACCAAAAGCACTCCGATTAAAAAAAATAATCATAATAATCAGGGAAGCAACGTTAATCGAGCCAAACCCTCTGTGCCTTGCTAAGGGGCAACTCACCAGGTCTGTTTGCACGTAAAACAAAACCTGAAGGGCAAAACATGAGGAAGAGGCAGAAATAATGAGGTCTGTTTTCCTGGAAGCATATGCAAAAGCAATCTTTTTTTTCATTTGGGTCCTTTTTTTCTCTTTGGGTTTGTTTTTCCCCCTCTGTGACGGGGCAGTAGGAGAAGCCGGGAGATGGGGGATCCCCACAACCAGGCTGGCAAGTCACCCCTTAGGCGCTCTCTACATGCCACAAGATGGAACTGGTACAGAGAGTCCTTTGTAGCCTGCAAGCAGTGCCAGTTTGCATGGAACGGAGTTCTCCTGGTGTCTTTCTTTGGCCTCCATGGCATTGAGCTCGCGCTCGACACACCTGGGCCTGCGCCCTCCTCCTAACCCCTCACGCAGCCGTGGCTTTTCAGGAAGAGCCTCCTTAACCCACCGGCACTGCCAGAAAAGTCACTAAGAACCCCCAGCTCAGCCACGAGTGAGCTGGAAGTGCTGCCGGTGCCGTGTCCTCCCCGCAGACACTGGGGCAGAGGACACCGCGCTGGCAGCGGCTCCATCCTGGCCCGGCTTGGGAGCCAAGCCCCCAGCTCACTGATGGCTGCTCTGAACTCCTTGTCACCTGAGCAAAGTGCTAATTCGTGTGTTTGGCAAAATTGAAACCTAAGGCAGTAACGGTAATTGGCAACGATTTATTCATTTCCCTTAAGGGGAAAAACAATAGAAGTTTTCAGAAGGACAGAAGAAAAGCTTTGGCATTCCTCATGGAAGCAGTGCCAATGCTGATGGCACGAGTGACACTGTCCTCAAGGGACATGGCCCCTTGCTGGGGGGATGCTCTGTGCTGGCTGTGGCAGAGGAGGTGACAGCGGCTCCAGGCACGGCGGGAGCACCCGGAGCCGCTGCCACCACCTCAACCCAACCCCAGCTTCCCATGAGAAACCAAAACTTTTTTTCAAAAAGCACGAAGTAAATTTTCTTGGGGGTGTCTTTTAGAACCTCGAATTTAAAGCCAAAGAAATAAAGAAACCAACACAATAAAGGAATAAAGAAAGAAACAAATCGGAATATCTACCCTGGTTTTGGCAGTTCTCATGCCAATCTCCTGCAGGTGCTCCAGCCCCCGTGGCCTCTGCTTGTAGTTTGGGTTTGGGTCGGGACTGATTACTTATTTTTTTTATATAATTTTTTTTTTGGATCTTTTGTTTTCAGGTCCCCAGGATAAGTGTGAGGAAAATCAGAGAAATGATGGAGAGCTGCAGCCACACAGAATACCGACAGAGCTTTTACCTGACCCTGCACTCTGAGGGTTTGCTCTTCCACGGGCCCCCCTACCTGATCCTCTTGCTGCCGCCACGGCCGCCGCTGCTACTGGTCCATAAGCCGCTGCCGGGAAACCTGGCCATGGAGAAAAGGAGAAGGGTAAAGAAAGAAGCCAGTGGGTACCACGAGTCTCTGCAGGGCCCAGGCTGGCCATCCTGGCTCTCCGTGCCCCCAGCAGGCACCGTGGTTGGGAAGAGCTGAGCCCTTGCCAGGTGCCCGCTGCCAGAGGGCCCCGGTGGCACAAATCCCTCTGGCACGGGAGGAATGGGGTGCCTGGCCATGGCACACTGTGGAGCCGAGGTGGACAGGTTGGTGGCAGAGCCCGCAGCACTCGGCTCGTTTCTCTCTACTCCCAAACAAACGGGGTCAGCCCGCTCCACAACCGACCAGGGAATTCTCTTCCAGGCTTATTTGCAAGTGATAATAACGTGTTGGTCTATAGACAGAGCAGTAATGGAAAATATGAGGAGGTCCTCGTGTCAAGACCACAGATTTGCTGGGATCAAGCAGAAAAAATTCAATGGCATGTGGTTTAAAAAAGAAAGAAAGAAAGAAAGAAAGAAAGAAGCTCTTGAAAGCAAAACAGCAGCAGATCAAGGAGCTCAGCGACATACCCCCTGCTCCAGGGGAGCAAGCCCTCCTGAGGAATGGAATGCTGCCAGCAAGATCACAGATTTAATGTCTTTGCTTAATTAACATTCACGAGATCTGTCAGAGACTCTGACTTTCAATATATGTATTTTAAGAGGGCAATGGCAAAGTCCAGGTGACCAGCAAGAACCCCAAACCTCGAAGTCAACAACTCCCGAGAGGTTCCCGGCCTCTGGGAGCTCCGGCTGCTCCCGCTGCCCAACAGGACAACCCTGGGGCTGGCTGCCACGATGGGACCAGCCACTTGAGTGGGCCCAGGACTCTGATCACAGCTGCTTTGCAAGGCTGAGGAACCACAGAAAAACAACTGAGGCACAGAGAAAGAGAAGAGCAAGCCAGAGAGAGTGAGCAAACCCCAGAGAGACCAGCAGACTACAGCCTCTACCTCTACACTATTGGCCTAGCTACAGCTCATCTATCAGGGCAAAGGAGCAGAGAACTAGACTAGAGTGACTTGAAACTACTTAAAATATCAATTAAAAAAAGACATACTTGCATTTAAATATGGTAATAGGGCTGTTGGGGGGAAAAAAAATATCAGAGGTAAATGTATGCAGAGTTCCCCAGGCTGCTGCTCCCTGTGCACTGAGCCCAGCACCAACCCCGGTCCTCAGGGCTGAGGTGAACCTGTTTGCTTGCAATTGCTAGAGCCTCTGTGGGATGTGGGGAGCACATCCAGACTGAGGAATGTTATAATCTGTGTTAAACACAAGTGTTAAACTCCCTCTTGCTGGGGGTGGAGCCACCGACCCTGGTCGGGCCCCCTGATATATGATTAGGGTTGGAGCTGGGATATCCTGGTCTGGGGAGACTTTGGAGTCAAACCAACCTCCAAAGAGCAAGGAAAGCATCTGCAGGACAAAGGCTGAGGCTCTGGGGCTTCATTCTCATGCAGAGCCATGGCTGGGCCAAGCTCCGAGCCCTCCCACTGTGGCTCCGGCAGGAGCAGAGCTGGCACCATTCCCCATCTCTCCCCCTCTGTTCCCTGCCCACCATGGCGCATGGCCCAAGAGCAGAGTCCTGAGTGTTCCCATGGCACCTTCACGACCAGCTGGCCACCCGCAAATCTCTCATTTGGAGGCTCCAGGGGCTCCCTAAACCGTCCGCAAGGGATCAGAGGAGCCGTGGATTTTCCATGGAATAAAATGCCTCTGCCAAAACCAATCAAATACCCTTCAAATCACCAAGCATCCCCTGAGAACAGCACAAACAACAGGGCTGGAAAGTTTGTTTCTCTTGTTCAGCTGCCAGGGACGCTCAAGATCTATTTGAAATGCAGGACAAAAAGTTTTGCCATGCAAAAGAAGAGTGAAATAACAAGGGTGGAGAAGGCGCTCCACGGAAAGAGCCCGAACAAAGGCTTCGTTATTGCATTCCAGTGGACAGATGTGTGAAAAATTAATCCCTCCGCCCCCAAAGAAAGCTTTTATCCCAATACTGAGATAAAAGCCTCTCTGCAACATGGCACTCCAAACAACTCAAGTGTGATCGGCTGCTCGCGCTCCGTGCGGGAACGCTGCAGGCGGCTGGAGGCGGAACAGGCACGGCACCAGTTCCAGAAGCGGGAGATGGAAACGGGGATTGATTATCAAGATTGGCAAAACCCTGCTCACTGATACACTCACAGGCTGGTTCCATCGCTGGAGGATCCCCCAATCAATCCAACATACTGAAAGCAATCGATCCCCCCACTAAAATGCCCTTTGCCAGGCACCGCATCCATCGGCTCGCTCAGCTGGGAACAGACTCTCTGGCACTGCTGCCGAGCCACCAATGCTGTGTGACCTCTCACCACTGTGCCAGCTCCCTGTGGGAACATGTGGCTCTTTGCTCCTGACCCTCCCAGCAGTGATAGGCAGCTGACACCGTTCCACTCTGCCTGCCAGGGATCCCGGCATGGGGCACTCGGAACACTTTCAAGAGCTGGAGCAGGGGACAAGGAGAAACTGCAGCCAGAGTGTGGAAACAGTGGCCCAGTGTCACTGGCTTGGAGGGAACTGGGTGCCAGGAATGGGTGTCTGGGCAAGAGTACCTTGAAGCCAATGGGAGCACCGATGGCAGCGTGCTCCAGATCCCACCCTGGCCAGGCCAGGCAGGGAGTATGGCAACTCCAGCCCCGCTCCCTCCCAGCCCTCTCAAGTCCACTGGAAAATCAAAAGGGTGGAGGGAGAGATCAATTCACTCCTCGTGTTTGTTTAAGGCACTGATTCCTGCCAGCACCATCCCTGTCCTTTGTGTACCCACTGCTTCCAACTGCCCAGAGGAAAAAAGCTCCCAGAGGTGTTCAGGCACTGCAATTAGAAGGTATTTTACATTAAATGTTTTGCACTGGGCTCACATTAAATGTTTTGCACTGTCCAGGAAAGCCCTGAGGATTCACAGCAATTTCATGCTCTCTCATTGCTCAGAACAAGCCAAACCCAGCGTTCCAAGTGCAATTTCTCACAGATAAATTTTCCTGCTTAATGCATCAATAGTTTCACTTTAAACAGTGAAGCAGGGAGGGAAGATGGACACATCTGGGTTAAAGGCTTTGTCCTGAGGTCCCAGATTCAGTCCATGGCTGGGTGCAGCACCTGCCTGCTCCAAGGCACAGGTGAGTTTGGGAGAAAGGGCAGCACAGTCCTGGGCTGCAGCACGTGGCCCCAGCGTCTCACGCTCGGCATGGCACTGAGAGCCCAGGATTTAGCGGATTTTCCAGGGGCTTTGTGAACAAATCTGATGAGAACAATGCTGCCTAAGCAAGGCCAGTCTCCACAGGGGCTCAAGGGGCTCAACAGGCCCTCCATCTCCCACTCCAGTGGGATTGTTCCTTCTCAAATCACCCAGTTCTCCTTTCTCCAGCCTGGACGTGGCTACAAGGCAACCACGAGCGAGGGAATTAACACAAGAACCATATTCCACCCTTCCTCCACACTGTCAGGACCCCCTTCCTTGCAGCCCTGGTCCTAAGAGTAATCACCGACTCCTTCAGCCCTGCTCTGCTCAGCCCCTGAAGACCCCAAGTATTTTGCATCCCCAAAGCACAAATGACCTCATCCTCTAAAACCAGCCAGACAATAGAAATCATCCCAAAAAGAAGTCACAAAGATCTTACAGGGATCCCTGTGCATGAGGGGATCGAGTTCTGAGGCTCCATCACCCCCAACAGTTCATCTCTTATACTCTGGTCCCCAGAGCACTGACCTGAACACCAGCCATTCCAGAGGGTCACTTGATCTACCAGGAAAAAAGTGAGAAGGCTGGAATATGAAATCATGTGCAGGATGAGCGGGAAGAGGAGCAGGGGAGCTGATCCCCCCTTTTCAAACAGCGTTCCCAGCAGCTTTGATCAGCCCGAAAAGCTGTGTGAGGCTCAGAGCTGTCATTTCAGAGGGGTTCTCGCTCCCATTATTCTTTCCATTAGGCACTGTTATCCTCTTTGGAGGATCTTTAGGCTTCATTTCAAAAGTATCAGAGACTCAAAACCATGAAGCAGAAGAGCCTGGTAGTTTTTTGAAGGCAGGCAGGCGTGGGTCCAATTTACCGCACAGAAATGTCGTCTTTAATGGTGAGCACACACAAGGGAAAGCTCCATCCCAAAACAATCCCTTTATGTTCAAAACCTTCATCTTCCAGGCTCTCTGTCTCACACTCCCCTTCCCTTTCTATAAGGAAACACAAATCAGAAAAAAAAAAAAAGCCTGCTACTACTCCAAGCTTTAGATGAACAACTCAGTGCTTAATATTTAGAGAAAAACATACACCCAGAGAAATCAAATATTCCCCAGAACTAATCAAAGACTGGGGTCCTACCAAATCACTCACAACTCATTACTATGCTTTAGTAGCAATTAACTCCTTGGGATTTGACTGCAAACTCTGTGAAGCTCTTCCAAAGTCTGTAGGAAGGTGGAAGCAGCGCCAAGCCCTGCCTGGAATGTCGTGTGCTTCCCACCAGCCAGGTCTGTCTCTGGAGAAGGGGGATGGCACCATTCACACCACAGTCAATGCCAGGGACCGAGCACGGAGCAGGGCAGACCCCCAGGGAAAACAGGGAAGTTCTTTCCTAAGGTTTTGATCGATTCTATTAACACCTGCAGCATCTGCAAACCCACTCCAACTCCTCTGTTGTGACAGCCTCATTAAGTGGTTCCCCTTGTCTTTTTCCACTGTCACAGTGAGCTGATTAAAATCCACTTCACCAGGTCAGAAAATTAGGAAACTTCAGCTAGAGCACATGACACACCATGGAAGCTCATCCTGCAGCCCCTGAGTCATCCAGGGCACAGCCACAAGTGTGAGGGTCTGTCCCCTGCCCGACAACCCCCGATGTCTGTTATGATGGACGTTCTGATGAGCAAATATTTCTGCTCTGGAACTTCAAAAACCCAGTAAACCCCAAATATAGTCAATTTAAAATTTGGCACTTTCAATTTACGTAC